GGCGTAGGGCCCTCTCCGAGGGTGAGGATGTCCCTGCGGTCACAGGCCCGCTGTGGCTGGGCACAGAGCGTGACCGCCTGTTAATGAGCGACGTTGCCTTAGCCTTGCGGGCGTGGTGCGTGACACTAGCGCCCACCACGGACATCACACGCTGTTATCAGGTCTTAAGCCTCTGCGGCTGAAACTTCTGGGGACACCTGGTCTCTTTGACCGGTGGATTTCATCAGAGTGGGAACAAGAGCCACGGGCCGTGGCCAGGTGGCCACGCGGGCGCTCTCCGGCCAGCTGGCCCCCTCCACAGTGACCGTTGCGGCAGCCCCTGGGCCTTTAAGGGACGCGTTTAGGGAGAAACTCCCTGTCTGAGCTGCTTGTTCTCATAGAACCGCGCTCGTCTTAAGCTGCAGTGACACTTCGTCTCCTGTCATTTGCCTTTCAGAGAAGGTTGCACGGACACTGAGAGGAAGTGAATGTGTGTGAGTAGAAACAAGAGTGGTTTACCCTCTTGGAGAAGCACGACTGTGTTGCTTCTGCGATGAGAGCCCTCCTGAGCCTACTTTGGGCAGACCTGGCAGCCCAGCAGGCGAGGACCAGCCAGTCGGGCAGGGCTGAGTGACGCGGCTGGGCGCAAGGCAGGGGTGTGTCGCTTGGACCCCAAAGTTCCCGGTCAGCCTTGACTTTCCAAGCACAAACACAGCCCAGGGCTGCCAGGGCGTCTCACTTTTAAGTCGTGCCAGAAATCGTGGGTTTTTTTTTTTTAAGATTTATTTATTTGTGCATACAGAACTGGGGTACGGGCCAGAGGCTCAGGGGTGGTGAGAGGCTTCACCAGAGACAGAGCGGGGAGCAGAACAGGCAGATCGACGAAGTCCACTGCTGAGGGGAGCAGCGGGCGGGCCAGGAGAGGTCTGCCACGCCATGTGGTCACCTCCGGGGCAGGCGGGGATCGAACTCATGCGGAAGCGGCTTTAGCTTCTCAGTGTTGTGCTTTAACCCGCTGCGCCACCAGGGAGGGCCGAAATCATGGATTTTATGATGAAATCGCCCACATTAAGTCTTCACTGTCCACTCACAGGCGCCTGTCTGTGCGCCCAGCCCAGACTCCAGCCACAGGACTGCAGAGTTGGTTTGAATTTTGCTTTTATAGCTGAGTGTCCACGTGCTTGCTGGCCCTTCGGGCCAGCGTTCTGGGTGGGGTGTTTCCGTGTGGTCCAGCTGTCGTGAGGGGGGCGTGGGGGCACCCCCAGCTGACGGGCTCTGGGAGCCGGCTCGCCGCAGCATTGTGCCGGCGCCGGGAGCCGCAGCACGCCAGACGGTTCTCCGCCAGGGTCCCAGCTCGCCTTCTCGAGGGCCCCCGGGAGCCAAGTCCCAGAGCTGCCCCTGCGCCCAGCAGCTCCACGCGAGCCTGGGCGGGGGCTGGGCTGAGACCCGGGCCAGCGCGCCCGCACACGTCCTTAGGGCGTGTCTAGGGAGCAGCTCTCCGGCCTGCCAGCCCGAGCCAGCTCTGCGCCCCATTCCCCGGCCCCCTCAGGAGCCCGCGCACCGGCCGGCCACGTGGCGGCTCCTGGAGCTCTGCTGCCAGTGGACGGTGACAGGCACGGAAACGGTCCCCTCTGCCTTTAAGAAGGTGTGTCCTTGGGGAGCCGCCCTGGGGCGAGGAGGAGGCTCTGTGGGCTTGAGTGTCGGTGGCTTCGGACGACCCCAGGAAGTTTATTCCAGAGACAGACAGCTTTTTGCTGTTGTTGTTTTGGGGGTGTTTTGACGCTGTGTTCTAAAGCTGGCAGTAAAGGAAGCCTGGGGGCAGCTTCCATTCCGAAAGTGACTTGTCTGGGCTTCAAGCGGGTCCTGCAGGGAGAGAAGAACCGCTCTGACATCTCACAAACAGACAGGCGGGCCGGGCTGGCCTGGGGAGCGGGGGTCTCCTCACAGGCCGCACCCCCACGCTCCCGCCCGTCTCCCCCCCGCCGCTGTGAGCTGCGGTGCCCTGCGGCCTGTCTGCTGGGAATCGCATGGTAAGCGGGAGAGGCCTGGGCAGGGGTGGGCCTCCATGCCCCCGCAACCCTGGTGGGCGTGAGGCCCAAAGTCCCTCTAGCAGAGGGGACACCCGGGCCACTCCTGGGGGCCAGAAGGTGCGGGCAGAAAAAGGCCAAGGGCGGGTGGGCGGGCCTGGGGTGAGCATCGGAGGTGCCAGGGCCACTGGTCAGCCCAGCAGGGCGAGACAGGGGCTACCAGAAAGCCCCCGGCAGACGGGGCAGCCAGCCCAGACGGCCACTCACAGGGCCCAAGGAGACCGTGTCACATCCCTCCCTCCGCTCGCCAGTGCATCCCCACCCTCCAGCCCCGTGGGAGCCGCGGCCCCAGAGCCTGGCTCCTGGGTGCAGCCCCATCGATGCCCCCCGGGGAGAGGTGGGCTGAGAGGGCGTGGCAGGAGCGGGCACGCTCTCCTGGGTGCCGTGCCATGTGGGCTCTGAGCGCCTCATTGTCATGGGGGCCTGGTCGAGGAAGCCCACAGCCAGAGGTCAGCAGCAGGGGCCCTCGGTGCGCCCGGCTGCACGAGGACGGGATCCGGCCCCATGTTTCCAGGGAGCACCCGACGGCTCGGCCCCGGGGAGGGGGGTTGGGAGTGACTTTCGTGTAAGCAGCGAGGTGCTGCTTTGGCGTTTGTCTTGATCAGCCAGCTCTCCAGCAGGCCACCTGACGGGTACATCTGTCCCCGGTGTCTTGCCGGAAAGCAGGTAGTGGAGGCCCCGGGGCTCCGGCTGGGGCTGCTGCGGTCTGAGGCCAGCTGCCTCCTGGCCCCTCTTCTGGGGTGTTCTCTTTGGCTTGTTTCTGAATCAGCCTAGGAACAGCTCCCCTTTGGACGGCCAGAAAGTCCCCAGTCCAATGACAGCACTGCTCAGGTAGAAATTGCTTTCAGGGCCAAATCCACCATCTGGTAAATGCCTGTTCGCTGTGTTGCTTACCTGTGGGGCTTAGCAGAGGTGCAGGACCTTCTGGTGCTCTGTGGGATTGCACTGCCCTGTCTGGCTTGTAAGGGACCCCAAGTGCCACCTGGTACTCCCCTGGACCGCCCCCCTCCCCACAACTGGATTACAGCCTGAGCTTTTTGAAGCCTCTGTTTTTCTTTGGTTTTGGTTTTGGTTTGTTTTTAAGATTTATTTATTTGTGCACACACAGCTGGGGTACAGGCCAGAGGCTCAGGGCTGGTGAGAAGATTCACCAGAGACAGAGTGGGGAGCAGAACAGACAGATCCACGAAGTCCACTGCTGAGGGAGCAGTGGACCCCAAGGGTCACCTCAGGGTCCAGGGATCGAACTCACAGTGAAGCAGCTGCAGCTGGCTTGCAGTGCTTCACGCTAACCCATTGTGCTACCAGGGAGAGCCTGAAGCCTCTTTCTAAAAGCTCCGTGTGTCTGTCTAGTCACACGGCTTGGGAATTACTAGTACCGTCTGTCTGCTTAAAATCTGGTACTGTGGGGCCCTCCCTGGTGGCGCACCGGGTCAAAGCAGTGCATTATGAAGCTCTCCGAAGCCACCGCAGCACGAGTTCGGTCCCCGCCCCAGAGGTGACCCCCAGGGCACAGCAGACCTCTCCTGACCCGCCCGCTGCTCCCCTCAGCAGTGGACTTCATCCGTCTGTCTGTTCTGCTCCCCGCTCTGTCTCTGGTGAATCTTCTCAGCCACACCTCTGGCCTGTACCCCAGTTCTGTGTGCATAAATACATAAAACTTAAAAAACAAAATCTGGTACTGTGAATACCTTCCACGTAGAACAGCAAGAGCTGAACCTGTTGGAAGCTAAAACAATGAGAGGGAAGTTTAAAAACAAAAAGAAAAAGCAGCCAGATGCCTGGCAAGGTGTGCGTGTGTCCCTAAAGGCAAGATGTCTTTGGTGGGGCTGTGGAGAAAGGCACTCAGCGATGTTTTGAGTCTCAAATTAACGTGACCGGATCATTCATTTTGATGCCGGGTGACTGACTCAAATCATTAAGCTTCCCGGGGTTCATTTGTCACCCCAGTGCGTCTGCTAGGGAGGCGCTCTTCCCCCGCCTGCTCTTTTCAAGGTCAAGAGTCGCCTGTTCGCGTCCCCAGGAGCCGGCGTGTCCTCTGATGGCACATGGAGGAGTTTCACGTGGCTGGAGTTTCCCCGCCACCACCCCTGCCCCTCCCCTCCCCTCCTCCTCGGAGCCTTGGGGTGCCTGTTACTGTCCGCACGCGTCCGCCGGACACGCCACCGTTTGTTCTGGCCCTCGGATTTGCTTCCCTCACGTGATTCTCAAGCTCGGCCACTTGGGTGAAGTGGCCGCGCCGCCCCCGGGGTCGTGGCTGTGTAGTGTCCGCGTGCGGTCCGCCGCATCCTCGCCTGACCCGCTGGTCCTCAGACGGACCGTCAGCCTGCACCCACCTCCCGGCCCTCGTAGACAGTGCTGCCGTGGGTGCTGGGGACGATGGGTCGGGTTGATAGCTCCGTTGCCGAGACAGGTGCCCAGCGTGCCTGGCTGGGTCAGCTGGTGTTCAGAGTCGGCTTTGGCTTACGGGCAATCCCGGTTGCTTTAGCGGTTTGATTTGTGGATCAGAAAGTGTCGCCTCACCTTGAAAATCACCCTGTAGGCGTAGGGCCGGCTGGCCCGCATGAGGGTCACGTCCTGCTCCGTCTGTTGCTTTTCCTGGCCCCGCGGCCACTGGCCGTCGTGCGCTGAAGCCGCTCCGCCCGGAAGCGGGTCCCGCGCC